TGTATAACAGATTACTGAATAAGAAAGGCAAGAGAATGATTTAAGAAAAAAAAAAAGGCGGGCATATTAGTGCTAAAATGAAACAGTGCGAATGCGATATATTTTTTAATGGAACAAGCAAGATGAAAGAAATCTACACTGCAAGTTATCTACAGTTAGCCAAAATATTCATAATTTATCATCAACTATCAAGAGAAACAGTTCACTAAGTTTTATACAGCAGATTATTTATGAAATCAAGAAACACAGTATGTAGTAATTCACTGGGTTTTCCCCCATATACTATTAAAAAAATTCATTCACAGAAAGGCAATTCAATAATCTCATATAAATTTTGGAAAAATGACAAATACGTATCTTTAGAAAATGATTTAGTGGACTCAGCAGCAAAATAATGTTTATTTTCAAGCACTTTTTACGTCCTTGTACGAAGTAAAAAGGAAGTATTGTAATTGCGAAAAGTTTCAGGCAGCATATTTCAACAAAAATATCCATTTTGACCGCTTTCGAATGCAATTTAACGATGTTTTTGCGTGATATCTGTACGTAAGGACAGAATAAATACTCTTTTCCTTCAAAAAAATTATAAAACTGCTTTAAAATTAATTCTGAAGTGAATTTTTCGTGGCGTCTGTACGAACGTATGTATGTACGTACGTATCTCGCATAACTCAAAAACGAGTCGCCTCAGAACGTACTCTTATATGTTTGTAAATTGTACATTTTTTTCTTTAAAAATGATTGAATTGTGTTGTTTTTATCTTCCGGTTAAGGATTTTATGCCTTTAGTAAATCTGTGTGCAATATTTTTAGAATTATCAGCAATTTTAAAGTTGTTTAATTGCCGTTAAGCCTGTTTTTAATGGCGGCCATTGATGTTTACATTTGAAACAGGATTTGTTGCCAATTTAGAGAAACTTAGCTTCGCAACAACAAAGATTTATTATTGCCACTTAAATCATGCTTAATTCTTTCTGGAATTTTTTCGAGGAAATAAGCGTTTGAAATTTACTTCGTAATTTTTAATATAGATATTTTGAGTTTTTATGTATTTTTGCCTTCTCGCGAAGTGAGAACTGAATTAATTAAATGAGAAATACTCAATCGTCTGTGAAAAATTCTTTTTTGTTTTGTTTGCTTAATTTCTTTTATACATAGTTCTAGCTTTATTATAGTATTTGAATAGATCATGTGGCAACGATTAGATAATTCTTTAAATGATATACATTTTGTGCATTCTGAGTTATAATATGAATGAAATATAATACTGTTAAGTAAACCTAGTGCCAGAGTGTCGCTATGGTAAACAAAGTGAATTTTAAAGAATGCATTTATTCTATTGTGGTTTATGCGCTGTCGGCGAAGTAGGTTTAATTCAATCCAATAAGTTTAAATAAAATGCAAGAAAAAATGCGTATAATTTAATATTCCGTACAAGGAAGTCATGTGGTGTACACATCAGATTTTTTATTCTTCCATTTAAGAGCACTGCATGTTACAAGTGATTTATCAAAATGAATTTGAGAGACATAATTCAATATTTGGATAGCTGAAATCTGATTTTTTTACGCCAGTAAAAGCAAGCAAAAGAATACAGCATCTAAAAGAAGGTTAAGGTATGCAAATACCAATTATTAATCATAAGAATAATTTGGATTTGCTATATCTAAATCAAGTTTTGGATAATATCAAGATAGAAAATGCATTTTTCCCCCTCTTATCTTTCAAAGACAACATTCGAATTCTTTTTTAATGAAAACCATCACGAAAAATTGCACTGAAATGTAATAATGTAAACAGCAATTTTTATACTAATATAGAATTTAAATTTTATCTACAATTAGTTTCAACATTTAAGTTTATTTTAAACCGATCCGATCTTCATATTAAAAACCATATTGCTTTCTAAATATTTTAGAACAAATCTAATTTTTAAAAGAAACCTTATCACACCATCCACGGTTTCCCCCAAAATAAGACATAATCTTACATTAATTTTTACAGCTAAAGACACGCTTGGGGTTATTTTTAGCGGGATGTCTTATTTTTCATGCACAATAATTAATACTTGTTCATGTTCAAGAAACAATTTCTGCCGGTTCGAAAAATGCAGATTCAGGTGTAAGAAATACATTTATTCATATTCAAAGAATATCTAAAAATGAACAAAATTCCTTTACTCTAATATAGCTATGTCGTCTGAAACATCGTCATAAAGCTCCAGATCACGAATTTCGGCCTGAATTTTTTTTCCCCCTCCAAGACAATTGGCCCTAGCCTCTCACGTTGAGCAAAAATCAAATAAGCTCTTCCCGTTAATGTGCCTGCTTGTAGAGCACTAGCAGCACCGTCAGTTATTTTACTCCACGCATTCTTCACCCATTATTCATAATTTTATCCCATGCATTCTTCACCGATTATTCGTTATTTTGTCCCATGCATTCTTCACCCATGTAACGATTTCTTGTAGCTTCATAAAGTTTCTTCGTTGATTTCTTTTCATTCTATTTTCAATGTAGTCATTGATTTTCGTGCGCAAATGGTCTTTAAATGGCTTATTTATTGCAATATCGTGAAAATTTGGAGATATGCAGTCATTCATGCGGTAACCATTATTTGATTGTTTTTCTTTCGCCAAGGAAGTTCTTCATGGTTTTAGCACAGTGAGTGCTGGCAGAATCCCACACTAGCATACCTTATAAATTTTTACTTATGTGGTAACAGTTAATCAGTCCAAAACCCTAACAGATGTAAAGGGAATTATCGCTATAATCACAGCAATTTCCATTACAGCATTATTTAAACAATATTGCTGACAGCATCATTAAGGTCATTACAAAAAATTTGGTTCCTGCAAGTGCAATTCAAGAAATTTTTATTAATCTTTATAGAAGGCAATTACAATTTAACGTTATACAACTGTACTACACTGTAGGCTTAAATTAAGGTACACCATAAAAGAAAAAGATTTAATGAGACGCTCGTGGTTGCATTTGTGGGCACAGCTTTCTTATTTTAAATGCAGCTGTTAATAATTGCAAGGCAAGCATAGCAAAATCAAATGTAGAATAGTAACCAAAGACTACATAATTCAACTTAAATCTAAACTAGATCAGAATTTCTAATCGGCGTATCAAATTCAAACGCCGGCAGCAACAAAGTCGAAAAATTACAAACTTATCAGAGCTAGGAAGAACTAACGTAACTTGTTCGCGTGAGGCAGACATACGCTCTGTCTTACAGTCCATAAACCACAGTTTAAATACTATTTAACTAAATTTGCATTTTGGTGAAGAAACGGAAAAGGAGAAGTTGCAGTAAAGATCCAAGTCATTAAAACCTTGTTAATTTAAAGAATAATTGCTGTAGAACAGCTTTGGCCACTTCGCAAAACAAGTGGTAGAAATAAATCGACCCACTTTCTTACTTCCAAGTGCGTACCGAGCTTTTTCAGTCTCAAAAACATAAATGCCTAAAGTTCGATTTTCTCTTTCTTGCGCTTAGAGATGATTACAAGAGGGGGCTTTCCATCAAGACGAATTTCCAAAATACATGTCACTCTCCACTGGTTCCCACTGGTCAGTGGTAGTTTGAGACCCTGACCCATAAACACTGCAGTTTCATCCATAGCAATACTATTCATGAGTAGTTACTTAGAGAAATCGAAGCCACCAAAGAAACACTTAAACGCAAGTGCATTTTAATCAATATCTTCCAAGCTGAACAGTGTTATTGATCTTCTTAGAAACAGTTCATATCGACAGTTCATATCGCTAAAGAAAGCCATCCCCCCAGTGTTGTGAAATTCGTCTAGCAATATGCCTAGCTGTGGTGTCATTGCAAGGGCAAATGCTTGAATGTCAGCCCTGCGAACAATTAAACCCTTTGCTCTTCTGTCAACAATCCATTTACAGATGACGTATTCTAGTTCAAGAAATAATGGTTGCTTATCTGATCTATACTTACGCTTCTTCGTATATTGCATGAGGTACACAGATCACCATTTTGGGACCATTCGTAGATTCAACTTCATTTTGCAGAATGAAAATGAAGTGCTTTTTATACCTCGAGTCTTCTACAATTCCTAGCCTGTACTCGACGGAATAGCTCTTTCCTTTTGCCCTCATTTCATCTGAGCATCAAAATTTATATGTGCCAAATATACGTTGCTAACGCGACGTATTGAATACTAAAAATTCTAATTTGTCGCAACCACGTTCGTTTATTTCAAATGTGCAAGTGTGTTCCATCTGCACTTGGTCATTCGGTAACAAGGCGGCCGTTTGGCTAACGATCTTAACTAGGTCTTGTTTTAGCAGTAGGGCTTATAGGGCTTATATTAAAAGGCAGGCGGAAAAATCATGCCAGGGCTTATTGTTTTAGGTCTAATATTCAGGGAAACATGGTAGTTTTACCGAAATTAAAAAACTGATTATTTTTCAATTCATAATTTCACAATTTTCTTAACCAGAGCTATTCAGTAATTAAGTGGATATATGCAGAATCAATTTTCTTCAGCAATTAAATTTTTATATTTCTGGTGCGGCAAAGACAATTATTCTCTTCTGTACACACAGTTAAATATAGACTTACTGTAAATTATATGAAACATATTCTAAAAATGATGCTGCCATACTGCAACAAAACAATCATTATTCCTTTTCACTCACACATAATTATGCATTTCACTTTTTATAACAATATTAGCAATGTAAACACAGAACACTGAAATGAATGGTAAATGGTAAAATTAGTATATAATTAATAGTAATAATAAATGGTAAAATTATTAGCATTGTTTCATTGAATGGAAAACTACTATTCACTCTAGTATATACCACTGTTTTGTACCAAGTATTATATATTCTGAAAACTGAATTTCATGAATGAGAATTGAAAAACAAGTTTTGCTAATTTTACATGTAAAAAGGTGTACTGCATGCACTAAGAAATACCTTTTTTATAATTATACTGAATTTATACATAACTTTTTATTTCAGGCAAGAGACATTTCTGATCACTGGCCAATTGAAATTAAAATAAGGGGGAAAAGTATGTAATAGTATTTCATTTTTTATAAGCTTTCATTTAACTCTGTCACACTGTTTACCACTATGGTCAAAAGTTTGTCATCAATTTTTAGTGGTGCCGAACTAAAAAGTGGTAGACGATAATTCGTCACCACCTTTTAGTCTTTAGTTTTTGAAGGTGATTTCGAATCATCAACAAAAACTGTAATTTAAAAACAAAGTTTATACATAATTTATAAAATAAATCATTTGAGAGAGCAGGATGAGACAATAGTATGCACACTGCCCTCCAAAATTTAAGGAACAGCATGTTTTTGATTACAAAACCTTACAAAATACCGTTACAAAAATGTCTGTAACATTTAAATTCACAATTTAATGCCTGACAGTAACGAAGTTTAAAAAATATACGCAAATAGCGTATATTTTATAAACTTCGTTACTGTCATGCATAGCTACCACTTTTATTTTATAGAAAAAAGAACTTATATAGGAGTTGGAGAAAAAAAAGCAAAAATTTACCTTGTCAAACTGTTACGTCATGCGCCTCTTGGGCAGACTTGTCATTGAGCCGGCAACATCGCACATATTAGCGATAGCCTGGCAATACATGTATTGATTGATTGAAGCAAAAATTGTCATTATTTCACGAGTGAAGGTACTGTCCCAGTCCAGTAGGCGAACAGAGCGGTTTACTCGTACTTGTTATATCGAAAATTATTTGAGTTCTTAGTAGAGAATTTATTTGAAGCGCAGTACCTTAGGATAGTTAAAGAAAAAAAAAATGTCTTTATTTAGGACACCGGGAGACTCTTCTGATGACGACCTAGAATCGGACAGATCATGAGATCATCAAAATAGATGCAATTCCCACTGAGAAAAGAAGACTTCAGGAAATCGCCAAAGAAGAATAAGAAAAAGAAAATGAAAACCATGTTCGGAAACTGACACCGAGGGAAAGAAGCAGAAGGCTAACAAGGAATATCCAGATGCAGATTATATTAAAGAATTATTGAAGAGGTTTAAAAAGGAGGAAGAGCTGAAAAAGCTAGCAAAACTGAAGAATTCCCAAAGCGAGCTTGACGCAAGTGGAAGGAAAGAAAGAGAGGGCATGGACATCTTCGAAAATGCTGTTGAAAGCAATGACGAAACAGTCGAGAGGGAATCCAGAGAATGGAAATCACCAAAGAAAGTCGCAAAGATGAAACAAAGTAAAGAACCGATGGAAATTGTACAGACTAACAGATTTGAGAAATTGAACGAGGAACAGAACGCAGAGGAAGCGCAAACGAACGCTGAAACTCCGCCACCAATAGTCTTTCAGCAGGATAAAATAGACTGGATGAAAATTGAACGGGAGCTCAGAGAAATTTGTAAGGAGGAGTTCGAAGCAAACATGAAGACAAACTCCATTTTCGTAAATGTTAAAACAGTTAAAGACTACAAAAATGCTACTAGGATCCTAAAAACAAGAGAAGTACCCTTCCACACCTATCAGATGAACCAGGAGAAACCCTTAAGGGCTAGCCTCAAGAACTTGCCGACCAAATCAACAGAGGAGAATATTCTTACTGACCCTGAAAGAAGAAATTTCCCAAAGGTGAAGCAATTCAGTAGAAGTAGAAAATACAATTTCGAAAAACTCTCGATCTGGCTGCTAGAGTTAAAAAGAAATAACAGCGGATATGAATACATAACCTGAATAACATTTTCAGTTTAAACGTGGCGATTGAAAACTATAATCCACGAAAGCGTCCAACACAGTGTTTCAGGTGTCAGGAGTGGGAACACTCCCAGCACTTATACACAAACCGGAAAAGATGCTACAAGTCTGGCGAAAATCACAGGAGCAACGTTTGCCCTCTGACAAAAGATGAAAAGCCCATCTGGAAGTTCTGTGGAAAAAATCATGTCTCCAGTTACCGTGGTTGTGATAAACATAAGACGAAATTTGAGAAATTAGAAAAGAAACAGCCCCCCCCCAAAAAAAAGCAAAAAAATTTTGTACGAAAAACTGAAGACTTCCCACAACTTACAAAAGTGAAAGAGATGGAACCCACAAGAAGTGCACGACCGCAATACAGCGAAAAAGCAAGAAAGAAAACTTTCACGATTTCAAAAGAAGCAGAAGAAACCATAATTTGGCTGCGTGATGAGAAAATTCACGAGTTTTTCAGCACTATCATAGAACAAATGGATAAAATCAAAAAAAGTACAAACAACTGCAGAAAAGCTTTCAGCTGATTTTAGAACCGCGATGTACATAATGAAGATAGCAGGAGAGGAAATTTCAGAGTAAAGTTCTCTCCCCCCCCCCCGCAACTGAAGAAACTCAAGTCTTTAATTCATTTTTCAAAAATCTAATCATTTCATCGGCAGCAATTTCCCTGTTCTCAAGCAGCATCTATCGGGGTCAGTACTTGGGAGGGTGACCACCCACGTGACTGACCTCGACAAATCAAAGCACTTCAACTCAGGAAAGGTAATTTACAACTGATGGAGAGGATTTTCAGTCTCAACCTCAGGCTTTGCCGTCGTATAACATTTTTTCGTCCCCAAGACGCGGTACTCACGACAGAGCACCTTTATCTCATACAAAAGTACGCTATCGCCCAAGGACACATTAACGACTAGCTTATACTTTCAGAAGTAGTCACCAGGATTAAAACTACGACTTCCAGATTCCAGCAAAAATTTAAATGTTCAGGGAAAGACGTTTGCCCGATTCGTTTAGGTGGCAGGCGATCGGTTGGATGGAAATGGGATGTAGCAAGCTGATGCTGCTACTTGTCTCATTGTCTCTCGTAGTGTGGTCCACCGACTAAGGAATCGTTTTGAATCCGAGGATTCTGTGTCTAAAAAACATGTTCCAGGCAGACCTAAAGTTATAACACCTGCGGGAGACCGTTATTTAGCTCTTTCTGCCTGAAGGAGGAGAAACATTACTGTGCCTCAGCTCATGGTAGATCATTTAGTGGCAACAGTAACAAGAATCTGCTCTTACAGTGTGCAGACGCCTGCACAATACAGGTCTGTATGGAAGACGACCAGTTGTTTGTGTCCCCTTGGCTCGAGGACAGAGGCACCCGTTTATATTAGAGATCACATCTCCTGGGCCAGTGACAATGGGCGTCTGGTCCAGATTCACATTGCAGAGTGATTCAGCTGATCTGGAGGGAACAACGCACCAGGTACAACAAATCCCACATAGTGGAAAGACACAGTTACAGAGGTGGTGGAATAACGGTTTGGGCTGGGATCTCTCTCGGTGGTCACACTGACCTGCATGTGTTCCATGGAGGAACTTTGAGCGGTGTGAGATATCGAGACGAGATCCTTGATCAATATGTCCGTCCATATGCCGCTGATATTAGTCCTGGATTTCTGCTGATGGATGACAATGCGCGACCGCGCCGAACTCGGGCTGCTGAAGAATATCCTGAGGGTCACGGTATGAAGCGGACGAAACAGCCAGCTCAATGCTCAGACCTGAATCCGATAAAGCATCTTTGTGATTACCTTGGGAGACAGGTTGCTGCTTTAAGACCTCCTGCAAGGTCGTTAGATTGAGCTTGAACAAGGATTACTCTGTATCTGTCGTTGCTTCCCATTCCACTGACCGACAACTCAACTGACAGCACGGAACGTCGCTGCTGCCAATGTATTGCAGCTAGGGCTGGCCACATTCCTTATTAGAACCATTTTTGTAATGTTACCACCCCATTTTTCCTCAAAAAACTGTGATATACCGTTTCTCCAAGACTGGATTTCTCTGCCGAGAGTGCAAATTTTTTGTTGCAATTCCTGTTTGTATTGAATTTTAGAAACATTCTATGTCGCATTCATTAAGAACTGTTTAGTGAAAATGTCCTGTAAATTTCTTGTTGCTATCCTGCTTCATTCTCAAATTAGATGCAAAAAACATGCTCTTCCTTAACTTTTGGAGGGCACTGAATTTTAACTCAAGCATCATGAAATATTTGCCATGTAAACTGACATTTTAAAACATGAAATGTTAATCATATAAATTTAAATTTTATATAAAAAATAAATATCAAATCAGTTCAGAAATGCATGTTCAATTAATTCATAATTTATTTAAATTAAGAATGATTAATTGCAACAGCATCACATAATTTATTGAAACTTTTATTGACGGTATTTATAGATATTACATAAAAACCAAATTCTTCCATTTTTATTTTACTATTTTCAGTCTGCATGATTGCTCATTTCACTAAATAATATCGTATTAGCTTATCATAGTTTGACACTTATAAATACAAATAATGAGAAAACGTATTTCCTTGCGTATTTTTATCCCCCGCCCTTTTACTTCCTTTTACGAAGGAAAGGAAGTATTGTAATCACGAAAGGTTTTGGGTACCGTATTTCAACGAAAATATCCATTTTGACCACTCTCGAATCCATTTAAACGATGTTTTTGCGTTACGTCTACAGGTACGGACAGAATAAAGGACTCTTTTTCCCAAAACGGATTGTGAAATGGATTCAGAAGAGATTTTTGAGTGATGTCTGTACGCACGTATGTATCTCGCATAACTCAAAAAGGAGTAGTCTCAGAACGCTGAAATCTTGTATATAGGACTGCTATAATATCTAGGTGTGCACCTCCCTTTTTGGTTGCAATCGGCCACACCGAAAGTATACATATATATAAAAATTTGTATTTGTTAGTAAGAGAAGAAAACAATCACTCTGTGAACAAACCCATTTTAAAATTCTGGGGAACTTTATTTTCTAAATGCAATAAGGAAGGGGAAAATTATGCAAATACTTTTTTTTTCACAACTTGATGCTAAAAATCGGAAGGGGGGAATACGCAAAGAAATGTGGTAATAGCATTAAAAGTATTTTACAGTAGTAATTTAAAAATATTATTGATAAAAAAATAGATGAAAAAAATGTGTATAATACTGGCAATAATGCTTTACAGTATTTTATTTTGAAAATAATAAATGAACAAAAATATTTCCTATTCATGCTATTACAGAAAATATGAAATTTATTTTTAGTGTCAGAGCTTGCCGAGAAGGATTTGGTGTCTGACATATGCTTTACTGTTCAAGATACAAGGCCACGTAATGTCTCCAAGCAAGCAATCATAACAGCAGCACAGACTTCGAATTTCATTCCTACTGTACTATCATCTCTAATTTTACTAAAGAATGAGACTTTAAATTCTGAAGATATGTTAAATGCAGTAAGAAGATTACAAAGTTCTTTATCAAATGTCATTAGCAAAGAACAGTTGGAAGCTATAATTTATAAAACACAACAAGGTAGTTTAGAAGATGACAGTTCTTTCGCAGATGTTTCTCACATGAAATTTAAAGTACAGATATTTGTTACCAATGCATATTCTGAAATATTAACTTGCAAAACAACTACTATTAATTAATTTTATGTATTTGCATCAGAAAACAGTATGGAATTAAAAAAAAAATTCAAACTTCAGGAACACAGGCAGATACTGACTGTTTTCAGCATGAATTATTTTACTCTGTACTACATGTATATTACTTACATTTTATTTTTATCTCATACAAATATTTTTAAAATCGCTTAATATGTATATACATTCTTTTACCTAATTTTTGGTATTTCTATGAATTTTTCACCTCTGTAATCTCAAAATATATCAAATTACATGTATTTTTTTATATAAAAATTACTCTAACTGAAAAATATTACTTCAAAAAGACAACAAAATTTTCAGAATACAATCACTAAAATATATTCCTTAAATAATTGCATCAGATCTTAATAAAATGACTAGCAGTTTTAACACAATACTTTCCAGAAGAAACATAAAATGACTAGACTATCCCCCAAAAAAAAAAATCAATAGGACACCAAGGAGGATTCTTTCTTACTTAAATCTCTCACAAAAAAAAGGAGGAAATCAATAATAGATCAAAAAGGCAAAACCTCTAGAAGGCATATCTCAATCTGACCCAAACTACACTGAATCCTAGTTTCAGCCTGCCAGTATTCACACAAAGTATTCAATTTGAAAGGACAAAATTTCAACATGAGTGAAAATGAAAACAAAGTTCTGCATTACTGAATAGAGTTAAATCACTATTTGTGGACACTAACAGAAATGCATCAAAAAGGATAACTATTAGTATACAGTGTTTCATCGCCACTTCGCTCTTCATGTTTGCCAAAATATTCATCAAAAAATAAAAATGAAAAATACAACCATGTCGGCAGCCACATTGTGGAAAAGAGCATTGTTTCACGTTGATGCGCGAGACAGAAGGATCCCTACATGTCAAACAAAATTATGAGTTGACTCAGAGTACATACCAAGGACTCTCACAAAGCCGCGTGATTGGTTTCCGGTGCGACATCGACCGATGAGAGTACGAGTGCATTTATCCCCGAGTTGATTGTCTGCGCATAATCGCAGCCTCACCTAGCATATTCTCTTGCTGTATCTTGTCCATGATGTTGACTGTCTCGCATACTGTATTTTAGTGTTGTGTTGACGATAACTTTTTTTGTTTAAGCAATAACTTTTTTTATTAATTAAGCCCTTATAATGCCACCTAAGCGCTCAGCCCCTGCAAAAGCTTCCTCCAGGGCACCCAAGAGAACGAAGATGAGAACCATCAGCAAAAAATTAAAACTTTTAGATATGATCAAAGAGGGCACAAGTTATGCATCTGTAACACGCCATTACGGAGTGTGAATGAATCTACAATGCAGTACATCAAGAAAGAGGAAGTCAACATCCACAAAACTGCTTCAATAACATTCAATAAAGAAGCAAAACGTGTAGTAACTCCACATAATAACAGAATTGTGAAAATGGAAGCTGCACTGGCATTGTGGATTGCTGATTGCAGAAAAAAGACAGTGAGTTTGGACACTAATATGATCAGGACAAAGGCCAAAGCTCTCTATGACCAAATCTTGCACGATGACGACAACGAAGAGGCTGAAGAAGGTGTTGACGAACCTCAAGCCAGTAATAGCGCTGCCAGGAGTGATTCACCTTCTCGAGAACGAGGCTTTACAGCAAGCAAAGGCTGGTTCGAAAAATTTCAAAAATGATACGGACCTCAAAAACATGCTTCTGTATGGTGAGGCTTCCTCTGCTGACAACGATGGCTGCTTGTTATTACGTGGAGGAAGAGTTTTCCTAATCTCATCAGTAAGGGAGGCTACATCCCTGAAACAAATTTCCTACATGGACGAAACATGGCCTTTTTTGGAAGAGGATGCCTTCACGTGCATTCCTCTTCAAGGACAAAATGAAGAGGCCCAAGGCTTCAAGGCTCACAAAGACCGTGTGACTGTCATCATGGCTGGCAATGCTGCAGGTTTAATGCTTAAGCCAGGCCTTATTTATAAAGCCAAAAATCCCCCGGCATTAAAAAAACAAAAATACGGTTCTGTTGCCCGTGTCCTTGGATGCATAACCTACCAAGGCCTGGATAACGAAAGCTCTGACAACCTTGAACGGTTCCTCCATTCCTTCATTCCCCAGGTGAAGCTGTATCTGGCCTGAAAAGGGCCTCCCCTTTAAGGTCCTTCTCCTGATGGACTGCGCAGGGAGGCCATGCAACGGACCTGCAGTTATGATGGTGTGCAGATAGTTTCTACCCCTGGCGAACACTGGTTTTCGAATATGCAATGGAATCAAGGTGCAGAATTAAGTGCATCATAAACACGTCAGACTTCACCTCCCACCTTCCGCACTATAAGGGCGGAAGGTTGGCCGGATTTAACCATGGTTTCTTCACAATTAGCAAATCAAATGTCGGAATGGCATGTTATGGACATTCCCTCTCTGAGCGACTACAGAATAATCAGCTATCTAATGGGCACTCAGTTAACTTATACTCTGAAACAGAAGTTCAAGACAGCTTATGGAGGACATCAGAAGTTCCTTAATCTGCTTCGCCCTTATGTAGATCAATTGATTTTCAACTTCCAAGCAAGCAACACCATAGACGGACTGGATGATGCCTACAGGCATTTAATTGGAACTCTAACAAGTGCAGCAAAACAAGCGTATAAGAAAAAACACCCAGCCAGAAGAAAGAACTTTCCTGGTGGAATGACAAACTAACGGCAAACAGAAGCAGAGTTCGGGCGCTCAGAAGACTGGCACAGTCAGAAACAGATCCCATACAAAGGGACCAAAAAATGCAGATGTACAAGAAGGCACTTGCGCAATACAAACTACAGATAATAAGGGCCAAATCCGACTCCTGGCAGGAACACTGTAGTAGAATACCGGAAATTTTTGGGCCACAGGTAAGGACTTTAGACCGACTCAATTGACTGCGAATGTGGCCCCTGATGCACCAAATACAAGAAATATTCTTTCGGTAATACTGAAAACGGTTTTTTCTTCAGATGATCCCACCAATGACTCAGAAATGCATACATTAATAAGGACGCAATTTCAGGAAAAATTCTGGTCTTCCAAAAATGGAGACTATCTCCCACCAACAATAGAGGAGGTAGACTTAATCATAAATGGTTTGGCAAGGAAAAAGGCACCGGGGCCGGATGGCCTAGACAATATAATACTCAAGGCATTGCATAATGAGTTCCCAGAGCTGATCCACTCAGTCTGCCAAAGCATGCTGGAAAGTAGGACACTTTCCGAAAGATATGAAGCTGGCAGAGATCGCTCTGTTTTACAAAAAGGGGAATGATCCCTCGGATCCGACCTCCTACCGCCCGGTAAGTCTCCTTCCCACAATTAGCAAAGTTCTACAAAAGATCATTCTAATGAGGCTAAATTATTTCCTGAATAAAAGTTCAGTAATTAATAAAAAGCAGTGTGGCTTCCGTGAAGTTATATCTACGGAACAGGCATTAGCGGATCTCCTGAAAGTACTGAAAAAGAACAGAGAAGAAGACAATCACTCAACAGTAATATCCATAGACATAAAGGGAGCCTTCGATAATGTCTGGTTTCCTGATGTAACAAAAAAATTAGATTCAATAAACTGCCCAATTCAGATCTTAAAGTTGATAGGGAGCTATCTTGAAGACAGACAAGTTCAAGTAACTAGAAACGATGGAATAATCCAGCAAAACCTGGAGAGAGGCTGTCCACAGGATTCCTGTCTAGGGCCAACCCTGTGGAACCTAGTAGCTAATTCAGCGTTCCAAATTTTTTAGATGGAGAGCGGAGTACATCTGCAAGCTTTTGCGGATGATTTCCTTCTAGTAACTTCAGGAAGAAAGAATATCGAGAAAATTACACAAAATGCACTAAATAGGTTCTTAGAGTGGGCACAAACACATAAATTTACGATTTCAGCAGAAAAAACTACCATGCTATTTATAGGGCGAAAAAGAGTAATGAAAAGAAATCCTACCATTAGACTCAACGGTAGCTCAGTAAAATGCTCTCCAAACATAAAATACTTAGGATTTATCCTCAACAATAATCTCTCTTGGATTCCCCACTTAAAAGAACTCAGGAAAAGATGTATCGCACTCACCAACACAATGCTACGCACAACAGGACTGCAGTAGGGAGCACCACCATGGGTGCTTAAGAGGTGGTACCAAGCAATTACAGAAAGAATTGCTCTCTTTGACGCAGCGATCTGGGGAAATACACTCAACGTAAGCATGCGTAGACTACTCCTGTTCATGCAAAGGTTGCAACTCTTGCTCATCTGCAAGGGCTACAGAACTACTTCAACGACAGCTCTGCAGGTTCTGTCAGGAATTCCTCCGCTAGACCTGCAAGCGGAAAGGGAGTCGTTAATTGCAAGAGTGTTAAGGCTAGGTGAGGACGGAGTTCTATGGGAACAACACCACTTTGCTGAAGACTTTGAAAAACACAACCCAGTGACGCAGGACATCCGGCTGAAACACATCTAAAAAAGTGTATTCTAGGCCACTATGTGACATCAAAAGATAATCACACAGCTATATTTACAGATGGCTCAAAAACAGAGACGGGTACTGGCAGTGCCTTCTGCGTTTTAAAAGGTGATACAGTTGTGTATAATGGAAAAGAAGACTTGGCAGTAGGAACTTCCAAGCTGAGCTGGCAGCACTTAAAGCAGCAATTAATTATGTGAAGAGGAACAGACTTACCCAAATTACTATTTACAATGATTCTGCCTCTAGCCTTGACGCAATCAAAGGTTACAAAAGCAGAAGCCAGTATGTCCAAGAACTTAGAAAAACCCTCCTCAGACTTCTGTCGTCAGAAAGGCCATGCCTCACGTGGGCATTAAAGGCAATGAGGAAGCAGACACCCTGGCAAAAGAAGCGGCAAAGGAGGTCTCAAGAACAGAACTGCCAGATAAATTACCTAGGTGTCATCTCAAAAAAATCACTCTAAAACAACTGATAGACAGACGGCAAGCCAAATGGGACACAGCAGATACAGGAAGAAGAACATATATGTTCTTCCCAAAAAAAATGCTAGAGTTAAATTGCAATAGTGGTAGTCAGACACAGTTTTATACAGGTCATG